GCTTTGCTTGGCCCCGCAGTGCTGTGACCAGACATGGACGCCACGGCCCCCACGCCGCCTCCCCAGCTCCTTACTTCGGGCTGCAGGGCCGCTTCCCGTACTCAGTGAGGCAGTGGAGGTGAAGATGTTGCTCGCTGTTGTGCTTAAAGCAGACATCAGGAGCCACCTGGGCCTCTGTGGGACACAGAAAGGGTCATGCGAAGCCAGAGCCCAGAGCAAGCCAGTGACACCGGCATCAGTGGCCAGGCTTTAGGGTCAGCAGCCACAGCACCCCAGCGAGGGAAGCAGGAGGGGCCCCCAGCTGAGCGATGCCCTGGCCTGAGGAGCACATCAGGCACATCACCCAGCATGTGGGGTAAGGGGTGGGCAGGGAGGGGGAGCCGCTACCTGCACCCCAGAGCGCACGGCACTGCTCGCCATGTGAGGGGCAGGCCCCGTTGTAGCAGTAGCCATCGCCATTCTGGCAGGGGATGCCATTTTCCTGGAAGACGTCCTCCGGGCACTCGGCGCTGAGGCCAGTGCAGTGCTCGGGCAGGTCGCAGTCATTCTTGCTGGCCCGGCAGAGCACGCTGGCAGCCTTCACCTGCACAGAAAAAGGGATGTTGCTCTTGCATCCTCAGATCCACACAGGCACCACAGCCTGGCAGCACCCTGGTCTTCGAAACATCTCCCAGCAACCCATAGAGTGTCGCTCTGGCACAAAGATATTTGCCATTGACTGAGCAACTGCACAGGACAGAGACACCATCAGGCCTCAGACTGGGTCTTCCCACAACTAAGTCTCTCTCTGCAGGCAACACCTAGTGCTTTGCTTTTAGTCTGGACTTGTCCCAGAGTCCTCTTCCAGCACCCTCTCTTCACATCAAGGCATTTCTTATGTCTGTGTGCAGGAACCAATGTATGTAACTCTCAACTTTCTCTTGGATTAATGGAGCAGGTTGGTTTCCTAGACCAGAAATGGACCATGGTCATCTCTTCTGACCATTGCCCAGTTCTTCAACACCTTTCATCCTGCACCTAAGAGAGCCAGGGGATCTTGGCTCTAGGATGCCAGAAACAGAGGCTGCTTCGTCTTTCCAATCACGATGGTGTCCATGTAGTGAGAGCATCAAATGGAAAGCATGATTCCCAACCAAACTGTTGGGTGCGTTTGGCTCTGGGCAGGCTGCTGCAAAGGTCCTTCAGGCTCTCCAGCAGGCTACAGACACACTTTGCCTCTACCGGGAGCTCTGTGGAGGAGCCCAGGGCAGGACTGCGCACCCACCAGCTCCCTTCCCTGGCAAGCTGGTCACCCCCGCCGGAAGCAATACCTTGCAGTCCTGGCAGCAGTCCCCCCGGGCGCACTCAGCTCCCTCTCTCAGCTGGCAAGTGGTGGCATTGCAGCAGCGGTCGGAGCACTCCTGTGAGACAGGCAGGGACTGAAATCCTCCCAAAAGTCCCCGGAAAGACCCTTTCCTTCTGTCACTGGGTGTTAACGGCAGTGTAGGCAAAACCACAGCATCATGCCTGGTGAGAACCATTCCTGCCGCCTGTTCACCCCCATTACCAACACCAAACCAAAGGACAAGAAGAGATTTTGTTTGTTTTTCAGAACATGGGGCCTGACTTGGGCCCCTGGTCCCTGGTAGCACCCTTTGCACATCTCCAGGAATGAGAAATCAGGAGAATCTCTGTGCTCTCTGCACTGAGGGACCATCCCTTCAGGTCCCAGAGAGGCACTGTGACCCAGGGATTTATCCCAGAGACATTGCCTGGCCGTTGGTCTCGTCTCCCCCCCTGTGATGCAGTGATGGAATGCTAGGGATGAGGAAAAGCTGAGCACGGCTCGTGAAAGGAAAACATGCCGTGATGTCCCCCTCCTTGGATCACCCCTTTGGAGGATATGCTGGGGAGATGTCCATCTTTCCTAGCCACGCTCCTGCTACAACCACAGCCAGCTACATGAAGCAGGAGGACCACATGTCCAAGTTAACAAATATCCTCCACAAGTTATGTTTTGGTACAAGCATCAGGAACACAAGGAAGATGAGTCTTGCAAAGCATGATGTCCAGGGAAGAAGCTTGCACGACCTTTTCCGAGTCTGAATGACAGGCCTCAGGTCCCTGACACCCACCCTCCTTCCTGGGCTCTCAGAGATCGTGCCTACCTCCGGCGTGCCACAGTCGCACTGCTCCCCCCGCTCCACAAACTGGTTCCCGCACACCGGCCCTCCGTACAGCTCATCCGCCCTGGGGACGTTCAGCAGACAGCTGGTCCTGGGGTCCCCGAGGAACTGCCACATGTCCTGCTCGCTACAGTGGCTGAAGAGCTTGGGGTAAACCAAGCTGAAGGGGCACAAAGATAGACAGTCCTGAGCAGAGAGGAGGAGATCCAAGGGCCCTCGCGCCCACCAGCCCAGGGTGAAGCTGGAGGGCCACCAACAGACTCAAAGGCACCAACAGACCCTTGAAGTGCAGCTTTAAGTGAAGTGTCCACCCAGACCTGACCATCTCACAGGCTTCACCCCATCAGGACAGTGCTGGAGGACACCTTGAAATATTTGCTGCCCAGGGACAGTCCTCTTTCTCCTTCACTCACCCAACACTCGCCGCCATGACACATCCTCCATCAGCTTTGGGGACAGGACAGTGGCAGCCAGCAACATCTTCATCATGAGACATTCCCAGGTTGTGCCCCATCTCATGAGCCATGGTGGATGCAGCGCCGATAGGATTTGTGCTGTGGTCCTGTGGGACAAGAAGTGCAGCATGGTTCAAATGCTCTCCACGACATCTCCACGGGGCCCACTGGGGCTCTTCAACCACTCAGTGACAGGTCTGGCTGCAATTCATTCCCTAATGCTGCCATGCTGAGGTAAAGGAAGACAAAACCTGGACTTGGTCCCATGGCCCCTGAAGACCCCCCCAGACTGAGGTCTCAGGGGTGTAAGTGAGCTTAGGTATGGTGGCTACTCTGAAATGATGTTTTGTGGTGGTTCTGGACAGCTGCAAGTCCCATGGCTGATGGCTCCCACTCCAGCAAAGGATGCCCTTCCTGGGGAGGGACAAGGAGCACAGCCAGGATGGCCAAGGAGCAATTGCAAACCAAGTCCCAACCACCTGACAGGTGGTGAGAGAAGTCCCATGTCCACAGAGTTGTTCTGGGAGGCTCTTCAGAGCTCAGGTATATCAGAGCCCTCTGCAGGCACCCAGCTGGGTTTCCACAGCTACCTGAAGCCCTGGCACTTCTCTCGTGGTCAGTCACTCAGGGGACGGAGATGCCAGAGACCAGCTCCAGCCCTAAGGCTGCAGAGGGGAAAAGCTGGAGACCAGTGAAAGAGATACTTGCTCTGGAAAACACAATGCAGGGAGCGCAGACCGTTGGACCACTGCTGCTCTCCCGACGCATGCCCGGGCAGTGGAACCCACCTGGTTGACACCGCCTGAGTCTCTGGTGCACATCACAAGCTTCTTGGCGAGCCCTACGGTCGTGCCATGGAAGTCTATGCCCCTGTGGGATTGAGATGCCACTGTGACCATGTGGCCCAGGCAGCAGCAGGACTGCAAGGACGGTGAGGTGGTGGCCCCTCGTCCTTACGTGATCAGCTGGGCATTGTCGTGCGGCTTCCTCCGCAGCAGCTCTGCCTCTCGCCAGTGGAGGAAATTGTCCAGTGTCACCTCTGGGTTGGGACTGACGATGATTTTGTCCTTGTGGCTCCACACCTCCAAGCCGATCAAGGCCACCCGCAGACGAAGAGGCTGATAAAGCTGGGGTGGGAGAAAGCCCGGAGAGAGCACTTGGATTTGAGCTGCATAAGCAGAGGGAAGGTCCCACCTCCCCTGGGGAAACCACCACCAAGCCCAGGACCCCACCTCACTGTCCAATATCAGCTCCTTCACCCCCTCAATAAAAAACACAAGCTGGGGTGATCCCATAGACCCGGGGACCTCTGGGCTCTCTGGGCTGGTGACGGCTGGGCTGCTGCTCCCACACCACCGACCAAAGAGTGAGGCTGAAGCAAAGCAAGCAGAACCCCCTCACTTGGTGCATGGCGTCCGTCACCCCCCCCTTCATTAGCAACCACTCCAGTTTGAGAGCAGCCATGGGACATGCTCCGGGGGTTTACAAGAAGAAATTTCTCACCCCTTCCCTTATGAGAGACCTGGGAGGCAGCTGTCCTGCACTCCTGAGGACCCAGGGCTGAGCTGCTCGCCATGTCCACCTTGCACACCCCGTTGGCCAAGGGACTTGGCCACCCTGTGGCAGCCCACCTACGGGCTTAAGATCAGCTCCAGCTCCATCACCCTACCCATGCCAGTCTCTCCTCTGCTGTGTTCATGCCCGTGCTGGCACTGCAGGGCACGTGTGGGAGCAGAGAGGACAGATCCAGATCCCTGGGCTCACCTTGTCAACGTGGTTCACGATTTCCTTCATGCGGTTCTGCACTGTGCGCAAGTCCTTGTGTTTCCTGAACTACAGGAAGGACAGAGAGATATTTCCAGGCTGGCTTTGACCTCCTCGCTGCAGTGGATGACAGCAAAAATGCAGGGACCAGCTCAACCCACCCCACGCTTACCTCCTCGTTGTCCACAACCAGGACCAGCTCCACGTATCGGGGACCTTTGTGTAACGGAGCTGATTTCTGGAAGGGAAGAGGAAAGTGAGCACAAAGAGGGGCTCAGCTCTGCAGTTTCCCGAGCCCTGTGGTTGACCCTCCTGTGTGATGTGTTGGATCCTGGGGCATCTTCCAATGTTATTCAAGGCTAGCAGGTCTTCTGGCTCTGCTTTCTGATGTTACTCTGCTGGGTGTTTCAGATGTCTTCCAACATACAAGGAAAAACCCAAGTCTGCTACTGGGATAAGGCATGAGAGAGGCTCTGCGGGCAACACGGAACTCATGGGGTAGGAGGATGGATGCTCCTGCTAATGGTACAGGATCTGAAGACTTGTTCCCACCAGCAGTTAGGCCACTGGGAGCAACCCGTGTTTGGATACCCAACTAACAATGCATGGGGGAAGAGCATCTCCAAGAGATGTGGTATGGCCCCACTCCTTTCCTGGACTTCACAGGACCTAGGCTTTTGCAAACTCAGCTACAGGAAAGAGAAGCAATGTAATCCTTAACCCAGCGGTAGAGCTTCATGGCTGCAGGAATTTTCGGTTCGTGGTCATATTCCAGGGTGGCACTGGAGTCTTGGCACGTGCCACGCTTTCCCCGCAGGTGAGCTGCTCTGTACACTGCGTGCCGGCCAGCCACATCCTCCTCCAGGGGCTCCAGCAGGAACGTGGTCTCATTCACCTGGAAAAACCCACTGCCAAGAGAGAGGGTGGGTGTCAGGTTGGGGAGATGTCCTGCAGGACATGGACAGACCCTACATGCACCCCCACAAATGCGTGTGAGACGAAATATAGCTGCCAAATCCCAGCCAGGAAACCACCCCACCCCTTCATGGTTTCCACAGGCAGCTCGGATGAGCTGCAGGCCACTAGTGGGCTGTGACAGTCAAGTCCTTCTGGCCACGTGGATGAAACTACCCTCAGTGCAAAGCCCCAAGCAGCCCTGCTGTGCAAAGGCACAGGGTGCAAGACCCCACAGCAACGCAAGGGTCTGGGCGCCTCTTCGCTGTGACCTCGCTGAGCCCAAGAGCACATCAAGGAGGTGCAGCAGGACAGAGCTGACCTGGGGCATGCAGGGCAATGGGGAGCAATAGGAAATGTCTCCATTTGCTTTCAGAGGCTGCAGAAGCACCGGTTGAACAAAAGGACTATCAGGGAGGCTGGAAACCAGCTGCTGGGCTGGGAGGGAGCAAACCGAGTGTCCCGATTTTGGCAGGGACAGAGTTAATTTTCTTCCTGGCAGCTGGTTAGTGCTGTGTTTTGGATTTAGGATGAGAATACTGTTGAAAACACACTGATGTTATAGTTGTTGCCAAGAAATCAAGGGCTTTTCAGCATCTCATAGTGCCCTGCCAACGAGAAGGTGGGGGATGTCCAAGATGCCGGGAGGGAGCATGGCCAGGACAGATGATCCAAACTGCCCAAAGAGATATTCCACGCCATATGACATCGTGTTCTGTATATAACTGGGGGGTGAGCCAGGAGGTGGGTCAGCTTGGAAACTTGCTAGGCATCGGCTTTGAGTGGTGAGCAATTGTGTTGTCTATCACTTGTTTTGTATATTATTTTATCTCATTTTCAATTCTCTCCCTGGTCCTTGGGGG